TTAGTGTAAGCCTCGTTTTGAGGCAGGCTTTGCGGAGAAAAGGTCACTGCACTTTAAAAAAAAAAACCCTAAGCCCCAAATTAGATTTCAAAGCCTGAAGCAGCTTCGGAAGGTCCTCACCTTCGCTGACTGCTGCAGCAGCCTAGATGCCGCCAGAGAGTGTTTCAGAGGCTGTTGAGGGTTTTGGGGGTTTGGGTTTTGTGGTTTAGGGTTTGTGGTTTGGGGTTTGGGGTTCGGGGTTCGGATTTCTTCTCTTGGCAAGCCGGCAGGTGTGAATGGCTGGTTCAACTATGACTTCTGCTGCCTGGAGCCCGCGCCGGAGCATGAGAACTGCGACTGGAACTTCTTGCTGTCGCGAGTGGGTGAGGATGTCCAACCCTTGGAAAACTACCCGGTGATTCTCAGGGAGGCCCTGGGTCAAGAAAGGTTTAGGGTTTAGGGTTTAGGGTTTAGGGTTTAGGGTTCTGATTGAAACCGGTGGTATTGCTCTTGCCAAGCGGTGCTGTCAGGTCTGCTGCATTTATCCTCATCCGGGCTGCTGGGGCGATGCTGAGGACGATGTACTGGAAGCCCTGAGCCCCTAACCCCAAACCCTAAACCCGCAGACCTAAGCCTAAGCCTTGAACCCTAAAACCTTAACGCTCAACCATGAGGATGATGTAATGGCACCCATGTTTGCCGAGTGCTGCTTCCCCGGTCTCCGCCGGAGACTCCTGTATCCACAGGAGGATGATGCCACATGGTGGCTGGGATCTAGAATACTATAGTATAGTATAGTAAAGTATAGTCGGGTCGAGTCGAGTCTAGACGACTAGTCTAGTAGGCTAGTCTAGTAGACTAGTACAGTGGACCAGTCTAGCTAGTAGACTATTCTAGTCTAGCCAAGTCTCGTCTAGTATAGCATAGCCTAGTAAAGTCCAATACAGTATGATGAAATACGGCGCCGTGTGGTGCAGTATACAGAGTTTTTTTGTCTAGTCTACGGCATAACACTAGTAACAAACGGGGCAGTCTCCTCTTGCTTAGCCCTAAACCCTAAACCCTAAACCCCAAACCCTAAACCCTAAACCCTAAACCCTAAACCCTAAACCCTAAACCCTAAACCCTTCTGCTTCGGATTCTTGGGAAGACCGAGGCTTGAGGGTGACCTCGATGAGGAGTTTGAGGCACTGGAGGGACTCCGATGGTCCGAGGCAGACTTCGACGCTTTCGAGGAGGCGACGCGTTGTTCCCAAAGGTTTAGGGTTTGGGGTTTAGGGTTTAGGGTTTAGGGTTTAGGGTTTAGGGTTTGGGGTTTAGGGTTTGGGGTTTAGGGTTTAGGGTTTAGGGACCCTAAAGCCCAAGCACTGAAGGGCCATTTCTGGGGCCGGAGTGGTGGTAAGAAGGAACGGTCCCTGCAACTTAAGGCGAGCCTGTGATCTTGAGCCTTAACTTTGGCCCTAAGCCTTTGCTTCGACTGTCCTTTACCCTAAACCCCAAACCTCAAAACCCTAAACCCTAAGCCCGAAACCCTAAACCCTAAGCCCTAAACCCTAAACCCTAAACCCTAAACCCTTAACCCTAAGCCCTTACGCCCTAACTGTCTAAATCCTTGTTCCGGTTGCAGGAGCTGCAGCAGTACCGCGATGCCAAGCCCGGAGAGCTCGGGCTCCTGCCCTGCCGCGTCCGAGTGCGTGGCCGGGCCGCAGTGTAGGGATTTAGGGTTTAGGGTTTAGGGCTTAGGAGGGTGTAGGGTTTGGGGTTTAGGGCTTAGGGCTTAGGGCTTAGGGTTTGAGGTTTAAGGCTTAGGGCTTAGGGTTTGAGGTTTAAGGTTTGGGGCTTAGGGTTTAGGGTTTGGTGTTTAGGGTTTGGGGTTTAGGGTTTAGGGTTTGAGGTTTGGGGTTTAGGGTTTAGGGTTTAATTAGGGTTTGAGGTTTGGGGTTTAGGGTTTAGGGTTTAGGGTTTGGGGTTTGGGGTTTGGGGTTTGGGGTTTGGGGTTTAGGGTTTGGGGTTTGGGTTTTGGGGTTTAGGGCTTAGGGTTTAGGGCTTAGGGTTTAGGATTCTATTATAAGGGCCTTAATAAATAGAATAGGGTTTTGAGGGTTCCTTTAAGGGGTTCCCTAAAGGGTTTTAGGGGCCTTAATAATTAGAAGGGGGTTTTGGGGGTTCCTCTAAAGGGCTCCTTAAAGGCTGTTAGGAGCTTTTATAATTTTAATAGGGTTTTGGGGTTCCTTGAGGGGTTCCCGAAAGGGTTTTAGGAGCCTTACAGATTAGAATAGGGTTTTGGGAGTTCCTTTAAAGGGTTCCTTAAAGGGTTCTATAAGGGCCACTAGAAGGGTTTAGGGTTTAGGAGCCTTAAATAATTTCAATAGGGTTTTGGGGTTCCTTTAAAGGGTTCCTTAAGGGGTTCTACAAGGGCTACTAGACTTAGGAGCCTTAATAATTAGAATAGGATTTTGGGGGTTCCTTTGAAGGGTTCCATAAAGGGTTCTATAAGGGCTGCTAGAAGGGTTTAGGGTTTAGGAGCCTTAATGATTTCAATAGGGTTTTGGGCTCCTTAATACCATAATTATAATAGGGAGCCTTAAGGAATAGTATTGGTGATTACTTAGGCTTCTACAGCACATTCTGCCGGTTTTCCCAAAGCCCTAAACTATACAAACATATATATATATATGTCTATAGAGGTGTGTATATATATATATATACATACACATGTTCATGAATATACGTATGTTTGCAAAGGTGTATACATACTTAGATACACATAAGATATAATCTAGTTATATATATATATATATATATGTGTATAACTATATGTATACATCTATACATCAACTGCGCAATATGTCCCACACCCCAAAGCTTTCCTTGGCTTCACGAAGTGGGCAAAGCGAGGAGATGGCAAGCTGATTCCCTGCAACTACTCGCAGTGCCAGACGACAGTGGATCCCAACAACGACTCTTTGCTTGTGCTTAAGGGAGAGTGGAGGACGGAATATAATCACTACTATGAGGGATTATCGTAGAGGGACTCATAGGATTACTATAAGGGACTATTTCGGAACTATAAGGACTACTTGCAGGGATTCTGTAGGGACTATAAGAGGGATCCACTCTCCTACTCCCCCTTAAGCACCAGTAAGGACTGCGCCTACGTCCGAGCAGTGGAAGTGGCGCTGCGCATTATCGGCACACACCTTCCCCTGCCGGATCTCGACATGTTCGTCAGCCCGACCAACAACGACGCAGGCCTGAACAAGGTTGTTGGGGCATACTGCGCTGAATTCTACCAGCTTATACATAGAAGAGAGGGACTAGAAGGGAATATGTCCGTTTTGGATGAGGCATCTCCTCCGTGCCGGTCTTCACACGGAGTCGGCCTCGGTCGCCGCGGGGGAAGTACATTGCTTTGCCCTTTGAGTACCAACTCCATCCCTGGCAAAGCCGCAAGGCCACCGCTACTCTGGCGAAGGTGGCCTCTAAACACCCGTGGGAAAAGCGCCTGGGGAAGCTTCTCTGGCGTGGCACGAACTCCAACCATGTAGTTAACCACTGCTCGCTGAAGGAGGTCGCGGAAGGAACGGCTCCGTGGAGTCTCTGTGTTGAGGGCTGGCGAGAGGCCCTCCTTGGAATTGGTGATGAGGGCATCAAGTGGCACACGTCCAGCTGGAATTTCACCAATTGGTACCAAACCCCAAGAGGTGTCTTGGTGTTGCTTTCACAGTATATTGCTGCGGTGGATGCTAAGTGGACTGGGATTTCACGGAACATGGAGCCTGAGCTCTGGGAGTATTTTGAGGCTGAGAACATGACTGCACCTTCAGTGAAGTTCTGGGAGCAGTTGGCGTACAAGTACGGAATAAATATCGAAGGCACTGGCATTGGTGATCGCATCTACTGGCAGATGCTGGGCGGTCAGGCGGGGTGTTCCTCGAAACGGGTTGCCTTGTGACTCCCTTTTGTAAGCCCAAGCAGCCCCAAACACCCTTACCACCGCGGTTGTAGCAGCCGTTGCGAACACTCAGGTAGTGCTGAACCACGAGACGCCCCAAGTCTCCTGGCTACTGGCGGAGCCCTCGGCGCCAACGCGGCGGGGCGCGCTCAAGCCCTACCAGCACTTCGTGCCACTGCGATTCGACCTGGCAGTCGCTAAGCTCCGTCAGTTTGTGTTAGGGCCGTCAGGGTGTTGAGCGTCTGTTTTGGGCACGTTCCTGTGATGCTGTCGCATGCAGGATCTTGTGGATCGACTGGAGTGGTTGGAAAGGAGATGCGGTGAAAAGCCATGGCTTAAAGAGTGCGTGGATCCGTTCAGCCCGATGCAGGAACGACGAACTTGCAAGACGCATCGCTGAATCCTCGCAGATGTTTGCAGAGAGACATCTTGGCCGCCAGCTCAGCCTTTGGAAGCATTTCCGAGGCACGAAGTTGTGAGCATGAGGAATGGCTTTGACCTTGACTTGAGGCTACGACTCCATCCTTTTCTATTTCGACCGTGTGATTCGCCGCTATGCCTCCGATCACCTCAAGTAGCCGACCTGCGCTAGGCGATGACAAAACCTGCTGGCGGGGTTCCTGATGTGGCGGACAACTTCGAGTCTTCGAGTTCAAGTTCTGAGAAGTGAGGAATCTGGTCGCCATGGCTCTGAGAGATATGGCACCAGGCCGTCGCCACAAAAGCACATGGCCGCCGCCACAATGGCCGGGTCTGTTTCTCTGGCTCTCACTCACGTCGGTGGACTTGTCTGCTCGCATTTGCGGTGGCATGGGCGGTTCGGGAAGACAAATCTTGCAAATCAATCTTGCTTCAGAGGTTCTTTGCTGAACGGATTTCTGGCATCCCAAGGTTGGCTGCGACTGCTGCAGACGGCAAGGCAGACGAGGTGACTTTTCAGGCAACTGTCTGGGCTCTGCGGCAGTTGCCTTGCATGCCCGAAAAGTAGCAGTTGGGAGAGGGGTTACTCCACTTGGAGGCCCAGGGGAGTTAGTAAGTAGGTTATAAGTAGAGTTATACGTACCCTGCATGGACTTACCCCAATTGTAACCCTACTTATAACCGACTTACTAAGTCCCCCGGGCCTCTAAGCCGCCGTTTGGGAGGTCTGCATGGTTGGCTGCGGGCGCGCCGGCCACCCAGCGAATGTAAGCGTGACACTGAGTGCGCAGAGACCGAGGAAGAGTCCCACGTGCTAGATGCACAAGGTTTTCTGTTTAGGCGTTTCGGGGTTCAGGCTTTACGGTTCAGGAGCCTTAACCCTAGCCTTAAACCCTAAACCCTGCACCTTAAACCCCAAACCCCAAAAACCCTAAGCCGCTGGAAACCCTGGAAGAGGCGCGCGCCTGGACTTTGGCCCTACATTTGTTCCAGGACCGGCCCCGTTTCACTGCTCCGCACAGCGAAACACTTCTCCGAATCACAGGAAAGCCCCGAAATGGTGATGCAAATTGTGCGCGGTTCATTCGAGTTTTAAAGGGCATACTATACTACAAGAATAGCAGGAACCAAAAGGGTAACTATATTTTGTGCTACTATGATAACACAACTTCATAACAGAGCAAGCATTGCGGAGCCACGCCCCCTGGCAGGAAATGGCCAGCTTTAATGTCAAGCAAACGACAGCAGGCCCTTGGGACGGGTCTTTACTTTCAGGTAATATAGGGGCCTAAATAGTTACCTGTACTATTTTGGTAGCTCCTTATTATAGGTATAGTATAAGGGGCCCCAAAACCCTAGTCTAATTATCAAGGCCCCTACAGTAGGGGTTCAGGGTGCAGGTGGCCTGGTGGTTTCCGGGTTGAAGGGTTTTCGGATTTCAAGCAGTGCTGAGGTTGTAAAGTTTCATCCTTACTTGCTAAGATTCCAGGGCTCCGAAACCCTAAACCCTAAACCCATCTAAATCCTAAACCCTATAAACCCATCTAAACCATAAACCCTAAACCCATCTAAACCCTATGCCCTATACCCATCTAAACCTTAAGCCCTCTAAGTTATCTTTGGTGCCTTACTCGCTGCTTGGTGACAGGTCCCTGTCCCATCCTCTTGCGTCCAAGGCTGCAACGCCGCCATGGCTGCGTGTGAAAAAGGCCACGCCTGGGAGAGACTTGCCTCAGAATCCATAGTATATTATGGCATATTATAGTATCATATTGTATATTATAGTATAGTATAATATATAGTATAGTATAGTCGAGTATAGCCTAGTATAGTCTAGTATAGTCTAGTATAGTATAGTATAGTATAGTATAGTATAGTATACTATTGTATATTATAGTATCATATTGTACATTCTAGTATAGTATAGCATGGTATAGTCTGGTAATGCAGAAGGCTCCCAAGCTCAGTCCGACGCCCGAAACCAACGTCAAGCCCTGAACATTCGAACTGAAGCCCCGGAAGCCCAAAGGGTTTAGGGTTCAGGGTTTCAGGTTTAGGGTTTAGGGTCTAGGGGCCCTCAACATTCGAACTGAAGCCCCCAAAACCCCAAAGGCCCCCACAGCAATCGCAGAAGTGCTCGGCAGCTAAGGAGCGGTCTCCGGTTGCTTGAACTCGAGGTGGAATCCTGGGCTCTCCTATTTCTATTTCTATTACTATTACTATTACTATTACTATTACTATTACTATTACTATTACTATTACTATTACTATTACTATTACTATTACTATTGCTATTGCTATTGCTATTGCTATTGCTATTGCTATTGCTATTACTACTACTACTACTACTACTACTACTACTTCTACTACAATCCTCAGCCGCCGTGGGGAGGTTTTCGAGAGTAAGGTCTAGGGTTTGAGGGTTTTAGGGTGTAGGGTTCAGGGTTTAGGTTTAGGGTTTAGGGCTTAGGGTTTAGGGTTGACGGTTTTAGGATGTAGGGTTTAGGGTTCAAGGCTTTAGGGTCTAGGGTTCAAGGCTTTAGGGTCTAGGGTTCAAGGCTTTAGGGTCTGGGGTTCAAGGCTTTAGGGTTCAGGGTTTGGGATTTTAGGACTTGGGGCACTTAGGGTTTCTTGCAGGGCTTCTAAAGTTGTAGCCAAATTTCCGTTTTGTTTCGGATGAGTCTTTACAGATGATGCACGTTGGTTGGCCATGAGTGTCATACATCAGTTTTGAAGGTTCAGAATGTTTTCTTTTTGTGTATCTACAGTCTCGCAGGACGAAATCTACGCCTAAATGTCTTGTGCCATGATCTCCCCAAAGTCGTGTACTGTTGACCATGAGGACTATCTACTTTGCTAGTATTTTGCACTGTGCCAACAACAACTCTTTCGAATCAATGAAGATCATAAAGCCAGGCGGCTCAAGGCGGTTCTTCCGGGAACCCGTGGACTTGCAGTATCCTGAAACTCAAAGATCTGAGCCGTGTGGTCAGGATTTGGTGGACACTCCGAGCTACAACTCAGCCATCAGCGCGCCCAAGCCACAGAGGGCGTTCTGGACGGGTGTCCTTACTTTGGAGTTCCTCAACAATTAGGATTCTCTTAGACATACCCTAAACCCTAAATCCTAAACCCTGAACCCTAAATCCTAAACCCATGCTTGTTCCAAGAGGACTCTGATCTTAGTATGGCTCCTTCCAGACCAGCCCGCGAATCTCTAGAGTCCGCGTCGTGTCGACATAGAGACAGCAGCCCTTGCAGTGGAAAATGTGAAGCTTTGGGTCGATGTAGTATTGTAAATACCACTACTACGACCACCACTACTACTACTACTACTACTACTACTACTAGTCATGATCATAACTATGATTATTGTTGTTGGTATTATAATTGTTTCACCCCGAAGTCGGAAGGGTCGTGGCCAATCAGGTGTGGCAAGGGGAGACAGTGGAGATGGGCGCTCGTCTTGGAAGGCAACATGATGGAGAAGGATCCCTGAAACCTGCGATTTCAGAAGGATCCAACATCTTTGGGGTTTCAGGCTTCAGAGTTGCTTTGCTTGATGGAGACTACGGGATGCCGCAGGAGATCTTGTCTGTGAAACGACCGCCCATGGTACATGTGCGGGCAGCACTCTGTAGATGAAAGGGTCTTCGGACTGCCTGGACGGGTTGGGTTTCGGCCCATGCTGGACAGGAGCTGGTCCCTGATGCGATCACCCATAACTCGCTGATGACTGCTTTGGAGCCCTTCGGCCTTGACTCAGCAACTCACAGCATCTCAGCAAGCTATTCCCGAAGCTTCCTCAAGCTGCGGTGTCGAGTCCGACCCCAGCCATAAGCCTTCCTGATCCCCAAAAAAGCCGGGGATCTTTTTGGCTTCCCCTCCGCACACCTCCTTCATCTCCGGAGGCATTAGGATAGGATTTTGGGGTATATTACGGTACATTGTACTATACTATAACTATACTATAACTATACTCTAACTATAACTACACTATAACTATACTCTAACTATAACTACACTATAACTATACTCTGTAACTATAATGAGGAACCCCAAAAATACCCAAGGCGAGGTGCGCAGTGGCAGCGCGCTCTCAGGGAGATCGCAGCAGCCTGGAGCCTCAGAGGGTGCGGGGCCAACGTTTCTGTAAACGTGCGTTGATGCCGCAAAATTATGGCATATATATATATATACATATGTATGTATGTATGTATGTATGTATGTATGTATGTATGTATGTATGGTATTTATGTATGTATAAACACAAATATATGCTACCCCCCCAGGACTTACCTCGAAGCCTCTTCTTGTACTGT